AAGGGGATATAGCTATAAAAGAGCAACATGAAGGATTCTTGTGACGATGAACATATTCTGTGTCTTGACTGTATCTCTGTAAATATCTTAGCTGTGATGTTGTTCTAGTTTTGTAAGATATTTCCTTAGGGGAAACTGGGTAAAAGGTATACAAGAGGTCTTATATTATTCTTACAATAGCACGTGAAATATAAATATCTCAAAATAAAATATTTAATTTAAAAAAAGGAAAAAACAAGTTACTTGGGATCAGATGTTGGATATTTCTCAGTCTTATGTCATCAAAAGAAGTATAATTATTTGCTTCCTCAAAAAACTGAGTCTTCCATTTGATTTACACAGAAATCTGTAGCTCCTGCAATTCTTAAGCAATAATCATTGAACAAATTGATTTTTTCTAAAAGTTTCTCACTGTTTGACTTGACCATATCTTTAGAATATTTGTTAGATTGCAAAACCCCAAACACACCCATGAATAGCCTTGGTCTGTTAAGACACTGGAGGAAATGCATACTTGAGCACAGAGAGAACTAAGGAACAGATGTGTATTAGAAATAATCAAAGGAGTAGAGCAGGGGAAGTGAAGGCAGTTCACTAAAATATTCATTCTCCATCTTGTTACAAGAAGATTTAATAGGGATATTAAACATAGTACAATAAAAACCGCACACCTGGTAGAGTAGCTATTATCAAAAAGATGAGATATAAGTATTGGCAAAGATGTGGAGAAAAGGGAACCCTTGCACACTATTGGTGGGGATGTAAATTAGTAGTACAGTCATTTTGGAAAACAATATGGAGATTCCTCCAAAAACTAAAAATAGTATTACCATATGATCCAGCAGTCTCACTTCTGGGTATACATCCAAAAGAACAAATCTGTATGTTGAAGGGATATTCGTACTTCCATGTTCATTGCAGTTCTACTCACAACAGCCAAGATATGGAACCAACGTAAGTGACCATTCTCAGATGAACTGCTTTTTTAAAAATATGCTATATATATACCCAATGAAATAACATGCAGCCTTAAAAAAAGAACAAAAATTTGTCATTTGTGACAACATAGCGGAATCCAGAGAACATTCTGCTAAGCGAAATAAGCCAGGCGCAGAAAGACAAACACCGCATGATCTCTCTGGAACCAGAGGCTGGTGGGGGAGGGGAAGGCAGCAGGCAGAGCAAGGGGAAATGTTAGTCAAAGGGTACAAAGTTTCAGTTAGATGGAGGGACGAATTCTGATGATCTATTGCACAAGGTGACTATAGTTAAAATAATGTATTGTATATTTCAAAATTCCTAAAAGTGGATTTAAAATGTTCTTACCACAAAGAAATGATAAGTATGTGAGGGGACAGATATGTTAATTCGTCTAATTTGTTTATTCCACAATGTATATGTGCACTAAGACATCATATTTTGCCCCATAAATATGTAATTATTTGTCAATAAGAAATAAAAATTAAATTTAAATAAATCAACTCAAAATGGGTTAAAGTCTTAAATGTAAGATCTGAAACTATAAAACTAAAAGAAAAAAGCACAATGAAATGTTTTTAAAAATAGGAATAAATCTGCTGAAGAGAAAAACAGGATAGTAACCATGAGACTCAGTCAGGAGTAGGGCTAGTACACAGCATAAAAGCCTAAATAAAGCCATGTACAGTGTGAGAAGTCAGCCCTTCAAGTAGCCTCTGGCCCTACCTTTCTAACAGCCAATGCAAAAAACAAACGTGACCTATTACGTGATTATAAGATAAAACTTGACTTGAAAGAAATCTGTTTGTTGTGTCCCTGTAGAGGTGACATTACAGTTTCCTCAATAACACATCTAGGATTAATAACGCTGGTTTCATTGTTCAGTAAAAATAGTTCTAACTGGGACCTAAATAATGCAGTTCAGGTGTCCAGTTTTCTGGCTTTAATTAGGGGACATTTTGGAGTATGTTCAAAATGAAAGAATTACATTCTTTAAGAAATTTTTTAAAAAAATGTTTTCCACCAAGCTTTGGGTAGGTATTAGTAAGTTTTCAAACTCAAATCCCTACACAGTGCAAGAAGGTAAAACAATGAAGAGAAATGGATGTCTGTTAAAAACAAACACTAAAAAATACAATGATAAAATAGCATTTGACAAGTGATATCCATTTGGGGGTTACAATAAGGTGTGGTAGGGAATATGCAACCTAGAGCTGACTGCTCATGACCAGCTTATTGTTATCAGAACTGAAATAGGAGCCAGATGTTGCTAGGTCTCTTATTTTTCCTGTGTATTAGAGTTCTATTACAGAAAACAGAAACCACTCTAGCTATTTTAAGCATAAAGGGCAAAGGGCTTCAACACAGGGAATTAGGTGCTTAGAACGTGTTAAGGCCAGGCCTCCAGGACTTGCTGACAGGGAACAAGGAAAAATTGCCCCTAAAGGAAGCTGCTAACCCTGCCTGAGTCAGAGGACCGGAAATCAGTAAGCTTCCCCCTGAACGGTTTGCTCCGGGAACAACATAGGAAATGGGAAGATATTGCTGCTGCTGCTGCTGCTGCTGCTGCTGCTGCTGCTGCTGCTGCTGCTGCTGGTTCCAGAGCCATGCTTCACCCGTCCAGGGCCACACTACCAACAAAAATAACAACAGCGTAAAGATGCTGCTGACACCATCCACCTTTTGACCCTTACAAAGGGTTTTTTGTAGCAGTAACGCTGCTACAAAAAAACCCCAAAGCGGCTTGAACTGATCATGCCAACCACCAGGAGCAGCCAGGACGCCTGCCTTTTAAATCTTACTTGAATGAATCTCGTTGGTCAAAGTTTAAGTTAAATCACATCTGACTGCCCAGCTTAGAAATGTCCCTTTCAGTTGCCCAGCCTCTGGGGGCGGGGAGTGACAATATGTAGAATGTATGCAAACTAAAAATCCACTTTATTCACCATATTGTATTTTTATGCAAAGATCACCTGAGCTTTTTAATGCTGGCAATTCAATTTTTTTTAAATTAATGGATGGGCAGGCCAGTAACATAGATGTCAAGAAAAGGCATCTGTGATCCAGTCTGGTGGCTCATGCCTGTAATCCCAACAGTTTGGGAGGCTGAGGCAGGAGGATCGCTTGAGACCGGGAGTTCAAGACCAGCCTGAATAACATAGAGAGACACTTGTCACTACAATAATAATAATAATAATTAGCAGGTCATGGTGGCACACCTGTGGTCCCAGCTATTTGGGAGGCTGAGGTGGGAGGACCACTTGAGCCCAGGAGCTGAAGACTGCATTAAACTATGATCATGCCACCACTTTCTAGCTTGAGTGATGGAAAAAGAAAAAGGAAAGGAAGGGAAGGGGAGGGGAGGGGAGGGGGAGGGGGGAGGGAGAGGGAGTGGAAGGAAGGAAGGAAGAAAGAAGAAAGGAAGAGAGAGAGAAGAAAGAAAAACAAAGAAAGAAAAGAGTGAGAAAGAGAAGGAAAGAAGGGAAGGAAGGAAGGAAGGAAGGAAGGAAGGAAGGAAGGAAGGAAGGAAGGAAGGAAGGAAGGAAAATAAAAGAAAAGAAAGAAGAAAGGAAATGCATCTGTGAACAGATCCAGCTTCAGGACAATTAACTGGAGGGTAGTTTTTGGTTCACTTCAGTGCATGGAGGAAGATGTGAAGCCCCAACCCCTCACTCCAGTTTATATATGAATAATAGTGTCTATAGTGTGCTATATTCAAAGCACTTACAAAGGTATTTATTATTACAAACACAGTAAATTATTGATAAAATCATATTTCAACAACACATAAATGCATATAGTAAAATTTAGTTTATCTTCTTTTACTGCCCACTGCCCACATGTAACCTGGAATAACGTGAAATAAGTCAGACTTCTCTGTATTGGAAGCTGAATCTGCTAGAAGCATCCTTTGATTCAGGGGGTCTATACAGAGAAAGCTAGAGCCAAGGTGTTGGACTAATAAGAGAACCTAGCCAGTACGTATGGTGGGGGTTTAATTTGGCTGGTGAGTTTAGTGACTGAGGAATAGGTGGCCTCTCCAAAATGGATAGCTCATATTCAGCTGAGAACAAAGGGAATTTCTTATAATATATTCTACACATAGCGAAGCAAACAAATACAATGTTCTGTATCAGAGATGTTTTACCAGCTTTGTGGTAATCTCAGATTTTATGGTTAATGGTCAAATTATTGTTAATATTTGAATAACTGGGTGGGCACAGTGGCTCATGCCTGTAATCCCAACATATTCGGAGGCTGAGGCGGGTGGATCACTTGAAGTCAGGAGTTTGAGGCCAGCTTGGCCAACGTAGCGAAACCTCATCTCTACTAAAAATACAAAAAGTAGCCAAGCGTGGTGGGAGGTTCCTATAGTCCCAGCTACTTGGGAGGCTGAAGCGGGAGAATCGCTTGAACCCAGGAGGCAGAGGTTGCAGTGAGCTGAGATTGCGCCATTGCACTCCAGTCTGGGTGACAGAGCAAGATCCTGTCTCAAAAAAAAAAAAAATTGAGTAACTTAGAGAACATGTTGCCTTTCTCAGTAAACGTTAGAAGAAAGGGGTTATAATTTATTATATTCTAAACACCACAGTAAAATATTTCAATTTAAATAAGACCTTTGTTCCCCTAGCTTACCTTTCAGCAATGTTTCTTGTTTATTTTGCTCTTGTTTTCTTTTTTTTCTTTTTTCTCTTTTTGAGGCAGAGTCTTACCCTGCTGTCCAGGCTGGAGTGCAGTGGCACCATCTCGGCTCACTGCAACCTCTGCCTCCTGGGTTCAAGCGATCCTCCCGCCTTAGTCTCCCAAGTAGCTAGGTTTACAGGCACCAGCCAGCCGGCCCAGCTAATTTTTGTATTTTTAGTAGAGATGGGGTTTTGCCATGTTGGCCAGACTGGTTGTGAACTCCTGACCTCAGGTGATCTGCCTGCCTCGGCCTCCCAAAATGCTGGGATTACAGGTGTGAGCCACCACACCTGGCCTATTTAGCTCCTGTTTTCAGAAGAAAGTAAACATTCTTTATCTTTTTTTTTTCCTTTTAATTACATTTATTTTAATGCTGAATTTACTCCCGTGCCATAAGTTTTTGTTTCTTCAGTTTCTTCTGGGATATCTTTTTCTTCTGGGCAACCTCCTCTTCTGGTTTAGGAACAATCTGTTCCTTTTCAGTAAGGATCATCTCAATGTAGCAGGGAGAGCTCATGTATGGGTTAATCCGACCATGAGCTCTGTAGGTTCGTCGGAGCATCTTAGGTGCTTTGTTCACTTGGATATGCTCGATGCCCAGAGAATCTACATCTAAACCCTTAAGTTCAGCATTACTCTCTGCGTTTTTAAGCATGTGCAGCAAAAATTCTGCACTCTTTTTGGCCCACCGACCTTGTGTCCAGCCCCACTGCTTGGCCTGGGCACACCTGCCAACTCCACCATTGTAACGTCGGAATGGTACGCACTGTTTCTGTAAAGAGACATCTTTCAGATACTTCGTGGCTTTTCGAATATGCACACCCTTGATGGCCTGGGCAGTTTCACGAATGTTCTTAAAGTGAACACGAAGATTGGAACCTCTTGATTTGCATGATTTCATGGGGTTCTCCGGGTCAAGTGAATAGCGAACCATTTTCACAGATTACCACTGGACACTGGATCTCCCGAGTCCGCAAGCACCACAGGCGGCCCCACCAGTGGAGGAGCCGGGTCGTCCCATTCCCGCCCATCACGTCCCTCTGCGGACCTCAAAGACCGACCGGCCCAGCTCCCAAAGTTGGGCCCTCCGCAACGTCCCCTCGCATAAGAAACCACTGCCTCCAGCGAGGATTTAGTAGCTCTGGGAGTTCTCCTCCCGGGGACCTGGAGGCCGACGCCCCCGAGGCCAGGATGGTGGCGATGGCAGGAGGATTATCTTTCATTTTTTAAATTCCTTTTGTATTTAATAATTAAATTCTGAAAGTGATAAAAATATATATAGTTTTGCCTTTTCTTTCTTAATAAAAAACTTTGTAAAAGTTAGAATATACCAGTATTCCTCTGATATTCTAGTATTTTTCTGCTGTCAGCTAGACCCACTCTAAACAATGAAGGATGGATTTCTGAACCCATTTCAAATATGTGAAAGTAGAAGACAAGATTGCATATATAATGATAAAAGCACAGTCTAAAGGGTATTGTTAATAGCATACCATGGACACATAGTTGCTTCCTCCCGACCAAGAACAAATGTTAAGAGAAAGCCAATACCTTTACAAACAAGATTTAGTGCCCACAAGAATAGAGTTTGCTTTTAAATAGGAAATCTATGCATTGCTTTATTTCAAAAAGTTACGAATTTAGTGCTTGAAAAATCCAGCAGGTAAGCAGCAGGAGTAAGAAAGTCTATTTTTGGAACTGTTTAATGGCAAATGAGCATGGTTCTATCCAGGAAGCATTTTTCAGTGAAAGGGATGGAGGGAGAAAGAACTGGTATTTACATTCCATTCTACACATCTCAGTACCGCCTGTTCATCTTCTTGAACTTCTCATAGTGATAGTCATCAGGGGCCTTCTCATTAACAGGATGCTTGCCATTTGGAAAGGACCACTCAGGCTCTGGCTTCTCCCTGTCACCTGCTTTCAAGGCTCTTTGTTTCTGTGTATGAGGCTGTTGAGCTCCTCATGATAAAAATTGGTTGTTCAGCACATACTCACAGCCACGTTGGTAGGCACAAAGGACGTCTCACTGTCTTTCTTTTTGTTCTGCTGCTCTTTCCCAGATGGGCCTTGGCATCCTCCATGGAAATGATATTATTTTTTATTTTAGCATTGATGCTGAGGTCCACCTTGGGGATGCCACTCAGCATCTGGCTAGAAAGCATCTCCTCTGTCTTCTTTGCTGAGGAAACACAAATGTTTTCTTGAAGTTCATAAAGGCAGTCCTCTGTGTTCTTCAGTTTGACTTTCTATTCCTTGTCTTCCATAATCTCTTTCCTCTTCTTCAGCTCTGTCTCAACGCACTTTATTATGTCTGCATTCTCATCCCTTCAGTTGGTTTCTGCAGAAAACAGTGTCCCCAGGGTTTTCCTCTTCACTGACTTTATTTTTGTGCCTTTTGTTTCGTTTCTTTAGGAAACTGTGGTGGATACCATACCACCTGTTTTCATCTGAAAGGGATCATCCACTAGAGTGGTCTCTTCTTGTACCTTCTCTTCCACCAGCAGGGCCACAGCACTCAGCCTATTGGGCCTGTTCCTCAAGTTCTGCACCCTCTTGTCTCTTCCAGTTTGAATCAAACCTCCTCTGAATCCTGCTTATTCTCTTCTGACTCTGAGTTGGCCTGGCACCAACAGAAAGTCTGTCTTTCTATCTTATAGAGAGAATAATAATCAGCACTTCTCAAAGTATTCGCGTCAACAAGACATTTTCTTCTCGAGGCATCTCATCGAATCCACAGGATCTATAATTTCATTTACGTTTAGCCAAGGTCTAATCAAGGATTTAGGTTTCTAATTTGTATTTCCCCAGTTGTTTAATGTATACATTTGAGATACAGTATTTTTGTGTGTGTGCATGTGTGTGTATGTGTATTTGTGTGTATAGAGAGGGTGTGTGTGAGAGAGAAGCATGTATGTGTGCTTGTATGCATATCATTTTTTCAAGTACTTTCACATATTGTCTTGTTAAAGTGTTGAAACAACCATATGAATAAACAGGTTGCCTATTATTTTCTCCATTTTACTGTGGCTCAAAGAGGTTTAGTGGCTTAATGATGATTAACTAGTAAAGTATCAGAACAGATTTGAACCCTCTGTTTCTGAGTCCAATTTTCTTTGCCCTAAACTACATGTCTTCATATAGAAATCATAAAATATAGCTGAAGGGCTTTAGAATTCCTGGAGGAAAGTGGGGAGCAGGAAGAACAGATGTGGGGACTCCTCTCCGTGGCATCTCTTCCTCCCCTGGCTATAGCAATTGGAACCTGCTGTTGCTGCTGAGCAGAGCCCATGTATGCTCAGCGCTTCCAGGAGCTGGGTAGGTGTTTTGCAGCCTGTTGTCTGAATCCCCAAGAAGAACCTAATTATTAATAGTTCATCCAAAATTTGAGATTCACTTTGTTTCTTTTCAGTCCTCTTGGAGATTGAAGAATTCTTGCTGAATCGTAATGTTGTTTTTCTTATCAAAATACTTATACATGTTAACTGTAATTAATTTAGAAAATAATGATTTCATAAAGAAAAGAAATTAATAATAGCTGGTAGTCCCACCATCCACATATTTCTATTACTACAGTTTTGCTGCATATTGTTTCTTTACAAATATAAGAATTTTAAAATGAAGTTACACTCTTTTTTGCAGTGTTTCTATGTTTTCTCTAAAAATAGAAAAGTATCACAAGTCTAGTCCCATGTTATTAAGTAGTCTTCTATAAGAACATTTTTAGTGACTATCTCATTGCATGATGTCAGTGTTCTTCCATAAGAACATTTTTAATAACTATCTTATTGCATGATGTCAGAGTTTGCTTCACACACTAGGTCAGAATTTTAAATTGGTTCTGTTCTTCATCATTTTAGATATGCTATGTTTATTTCATTTCCTGTTTGATATGAAGAACCCAACTCTAACCCCATATAGTACCTGGAAGAAGCAACCCTATACATCATGACACCTCTTCTCCCAAACAGCTGCTAGGATGAGGCTAATCTATTGGCACTCAGCAAGCAATCAGACTAAATCAACCAAGAATTTTAACTAAGAGACCCAGCAAAAACAGTAGAGGAGAGGCATTTCAAATGAAAGATACTTTGCAACCTAATACTTACAACCAAAAGAACCTTGACCAAAACACTGTGATAAAACTTGAGGCTGAATCTTCATTTTCCATATTCATAATTTGTTAGAATAATTCTTAGAGTTGGGATTGCTAGCTCAGTTTTATACGTTTTAAGACTTTTGATGCACATTGCCAAATTGCTACCTGGAAGAGTTGAACCAGTTTATTTTCCTCCTAACCACCACTAGAGGTTCATGTATTCTTTCCAATTTGATTTCCAAAATGGTATTTCATTATCTTAAGTTGCATATCTATGATTTCTGAGTGAGTTTTAAGATTTTCTATAGGGATTAACCATTTGTATTTCTTCTCTTGTTGATTGTCTTTTCATATCATTTGCTCATCTTTTTTGTTAGAGTAATCATACTTTTCTCATTGATTTAAAATAACTCCTTATGTGTTACAGATTTTAATCCTGATCAGGACCTTTTTTGCTGGGAGCTAATGTGGGTTAGGAGGAAGCTCAGGGAAAGATGGACCAAGGGTTGGGTGAAGGTCTGCAGCCAAAGGAGGATTAGGTCAGGAGACACTGCAGCTCCTGACTCCTCTCCCTCTTCCCTAACCAGCATCTTTTTCCCCAGGGCATTCATAGAGACCGTCAAAGAGTATATTGATATAGATAGTTTTTAGGGAATTAATTTACGGATTTTCAAATTGCATATAACTTGTTCATAAAATTGACTGTCTGAGAAATCTTTACCCACCTCCCTTTTCCAGTAGTTTTCTCCCATTTCACAAAATCTTGCTATGGTGATTTGCAATGGGATACAAAGTACTCTGGAGCTCCAAAAAAATGGTAATTTGAAATATTGGGGAGGATGTCAAGAAAATGAGTGACTCGAATCCCTGGGTAAAAAAAAAATTCCTTTGCAAGTCAAGCAGTTGCTAAATTGACAGATTATTAAAAATTTTTTCTTATAGATCACCTTGTGCATATAACTCAATGGGAATTGAGAGACATTGCCACGGCTGTCTTCATTCCCATCTACACAAACAAGATTTCTCAATGTTTTCATTGAGATGCATTTTAAGAGTTTGATTTTCTAATCTTAATAATTACCTGTCTAAAGTTATAATATATTCATGTTGTTTTCATCAGATTATACCCCATAATCATCAGGACAGTATAAACTCCCTAACTGTAATAAGTAAACCTAAAACTTCAATGGTTTAACACAACAAACTTGATTGCTCATTCATCGCACAGTTTGATGCAGATGAGGAGCCCTTCTTGGGGACTCTCTTCCAAGGGTGACCCAGATAGCTCTGCTTCCATCTTGTATCTCTGCCACCAGAGTTTCTAGTTCCACTTGGGAAGATGAGAGAGAGAGAGAGAGACAGAGAAATTCAATTCACTCTTTCTTTTCTTTCTCTCTTTCTTTCTTTCTTTCTTTTCTTTCTTTTCTTTCTTTTCTTTCTTTTCTTTCTTTTCTTTCTTTTCTTTTCTTTTCTTTCTTTCTTTCTTTCTTTCTTTCTTTCTTTCTTTCTTTCTTTCTTTCTTTCTTTCTTCTCTCTCTCTTTCTTTCTTTCTGAGACAGAATCTCCCTCTATCACCCAGGCTGGAGTGCAGTGGCACGATCTCAGCTCACTGCAACCTCTGCCTCCTGGGTTCAAGAAATTCTCCTGCCTCAGCCTCCACGTTGCTGGGACTACAGGCACACACCACTGCACCCAGCTAATTTTTGTATTTTTAGTAGAGACGGGGTTTCATCATCTTGGTCAGGTCTCGAACTCCTGGCCTCAAGGGATCCACCTGCCTCAGCCTCCCAAAATGCTGGGATTACAGGTGTGAGCCATCACACCTGGCCTCAATACACTTTTAACTGTCTAGGATAGGAAACAAGATTTCAGTTCTGCCCACTCTCCCAGTGGAAGACTACGAAATAAAAACTTCTTGGACTTTCAAGAAGAAAAAGGGTGTGGTGAGCACAGAGTACTGTCTCTGCCACAGGTACTACTGGCAATAATCGCAATGACAGCTCCATCCAGATGCATTGTCTTTTAACAGAGCCAAAGGTCACAGGAAAGAAACAAATTGTAATTTCACTTTATATTTATTATAGAAAACTAAGGTGTAATTATACTAAG